TTTTTTTTTTTTTTTTTTTTTTTTCCCAAGGGGAAAAAAATTCTCATGTGATCACCACCTACCCAAAAGGTTTTCTGCCTTTGTTCAAAATGTATCTGAGCAGACTTTTTTATACCGTTCCCTATGAAATGGCATACCCTAGTAACTCTTGGATTGTAAAGGCTCAGTCAGCAGTAACCGACTTAAATGTTTGTCAACAGTTGACATGAGTGACATCCTATGGATTAGAGAGGGAGATGAGTTTATCCATTTTGTACCATCTTAAATGGGATATAAACTATAATCAATTAAAAAATAGAAAGCAACGCTAATCGTTGAAGGCAGACTCTGCCCAGGTGGGCAAGTTCATCTGGACAGTAAGCAAACTGGTAGTTAAAAAGGAGTTTTTGTTCAGTTGGCTTTTAACAGTTTCAGGCTTTGTAAATATGTACAAGTCTTTCATTGGTGGTAGTAAAGAATACTGCATTTGGGCATTTATTCCAGCTTGTGGAGATAATGAGGGCATCTTTAACTCCTTAATGGGTCTTGGATTAATATTTGTCATAGATTTTGTAAATGGGCATTTGACGGAGTAATATAATTGCCATCAGAATTATTTTAAACGTATTTCTCTTCTGCTGCACTCAAAACAGTATTCATTTGAAGTAATGAACTAGCCTTGTTGTTCTAGTGTGATACAATAGCATAGCCCTTTGGAGACCAAGGAAAACTTCCTAATTGGTTTGTCTTCATCAGCTGTGCTTTCCTAGCACATCCTTCTATCAGCAGGCTGCCATTGTCAGTGAAGACCACATTGAGAAACTCTTGACTTCTAGGCGAGCTGTGAAATACCTTGAATGAATTACAACTCCAGTAAAACGTATTTCAGGTTGCAGTTTCAAATGGTTTAAAATTCTTGAAATGTAAATTACTTGTATTGCCTTGAGTTTCCTGTTAATTTTCATGACCATCAGCAATTATGCTGGCCTTAAATTTACTAATTTAATTTCAAAGTAATCAATTGTGCAAATGGTCACCTTTGTAACCAAGACTCTTATAAGACTGCTTCTAATGGTATCGGCATTATTTCTGGCCTTTAGTTTGCATGAATAGAAATTAAAGTTTGTCACTCTTCTGCCAGATAAACAGAGGGTGAGGTTTGACCTGTGCTATTTTTGCACTCTGAGGGCTTGCTTCTAGGGTACTTGCCTAAGCAAAACTCTCAATTATGGACCTGGTCCAAAGACCAGTCAAGAAGTCTTCCTTTGACCTCAATAGACTTTGGATCAGAATACAGAATAGGTAAAGGCTGGAATCAGTTTAGGACACTTAGAAGAAATGAAACCAAAGGGGAAAAAATAACTTACATTTACAAAAGAATATGGGACTTGTGCATGTTCAGGGGGAAAAAATGCTGTCAAGATCTGGATCACCCAGCAAATGGCAGCAAGAAAAATGGGAAGGTTTACTGAGCAATCAAATGTCCTTCAGGAGTGTTTTGCTCTGTTTTAATGTTCATCTTATAACTAAGAAGCTGACTGTTCTTTGAAGCCCTTATTAATATAAATGAGTTGTAATTTTCTGACCTTAAGCCATCCCAGTTCACATATATTATTCTATTGGCAGACATGTGGTCTCTACAGCTGTCCCCTCATTTGTGTATGAAATGGAAACACTGGTGGCATTTGTAGGTTACCATAGTTACATGAACAATACACGTGTGATACTTCATCCTTCCAAGCTAAAGGTTGTTTTTTTTTTTTTTTTTTTTTTTTTTTTTTTTTTTTTTTTTTTTTTTTTTAAAAAAATTTTTTTTTTTTTTTAAA